TAATTTAAAACAGAAAGCATAAATCTGTCGTCAAGTCTTTATCGTTTTATGATGTCGAAAAAAGCGGCAAGGGTTTGAAATATAACTATAACGTGTTGGTGAGGTCAAAATTGTGTAAAGGTTTGGTACAAAACATAATAAGTTTTGACCTCATTTTAGCTTTTTTCTTCGTTTGTTAGTTACAATGCAGTTAATTTAATTGTCAGGTAGTTGTTGATTCTAAATTATTATAAAGAGCAATCAGCTCGTCAGCAATATAATAATGCACTGGTGTAAATATTAGAAATATAAACTACATTAATATTTTTCTACCTCATAAAAACAGCTCACTCAGCAAGATTAGCATCGTTAATTAATTTTAATTATATTGCTATAAGGATGTCGGATTTTATATTTACCTAGTCCAACCACGGAAATATTATTTGTAAATCCCGCTTCTCCGCCACAATTAACACTGTAATGTCCGTTCATGCTGTTGTCACTGGAAAAAGTCAATGTATACTTCCCATTTTCTATATTATTTTCAATGTAAGTATCCTTTCCAATCTTTATATCAAATGTAGATCCGTTTTTTGATCGAACCCACTGGCGCGCAAAATTATCAGGGTTTTCCATTACATCTTTAGACGGATAATATTCTAAATATACATTCTCGCCCTCCAATACACGTTCATTTCTCAGGTAAACAAATCCACATGGATTAGTTGGGTTATCTGAAAAAGGGACGTGTTTCTTTTAAAAACTTACAAGTGATGCTAGTTTGATTGTTCCTCTTGACAAATAGAGATAATCAACATCAAATTCATATTAGAGAGGTACCATTTTGACATGGATATATATGTATATAGCTCTAATTATCAAAAATGTAATAAATCTGATTAACAGGTCAGATTATGAATTGATTCTGCAAGATGTACAGATAATGTTTAAAAAGAAACCTTTTTGATACGGTAGCTTCATATTATTCTTAATTTAATTGATGTAAACTCTGTGTCTTAATCAATGTGAATAAATAAAATATATATTGTTAACTGTTTCCTCAGTCTTTTGATCATGCGCAATTTTTACTCATGTGTTAGTGCTCTTCGAACATACAAGTAATAAAGTAGTTTTATACAGAGTTTATGTCCCATTAAGATAAGACGACCAAAATAATCAAAGGTTCCTCGTTACTGATTGGTTTAGTAAGTAGAGCGAACATTGTTTTTGATTGAAGTAACAATTGACATACCATCAAGTTTAAGTTTTCCTGCTTCCATCCAACAGTGCACGCTTTCGTTGTAATAATGTATCCGGTAATGAAATAGTCCATCTATAAGGAAACTGTCTGTTAAGACCATGTAGTATGCTCCATTGTCATGATACTGTGTGAACTTGTATGTCAAAGGACAAGTATACCATGAACTTCCTATGGCTTTATTTGCACGTTGCCATTCCAGAATTGCATCTGGATCCTGTGAGTCCGGTGTAAAAGTAAACGTTACGTTTCTTCCTAGTAAAGCTGGTTGCTTTATTGTCAAATATCCACATTTGCTTATACCGTTGTTATCTGTAAGTTATACATGTAATATAATGACATAAATATATGTAAAATGAGGTAGTGTATAAATGCTTGTGGGGTATCATAAATATAAATACTTTATTTAATACACAACAAAAACATAATAAAGTTTTGGAAACACTAAAATCTTTAAACTATAGAAGGGTAATATTTTTAGGAATCTTTAAAAATTTATAATATTGTATTATATATAACGAAATAAAGATGTGTCCTACGGACACTTCGTCTTGAAAACAAACTTCCGGCATCCGGTGTACGAGAATCCGAAATAGTAAAGCATTAATTGAGCCGTGTCACGACAAAACCAACATAATAGGTTTGCGACCAGCATGGATCCAGACCAGCCTGCGCATCCGCGCAGTTTGATCAGGATCCATAATGTTCGCTTACAAACCCTGTAACAAGTAGAGAAACTGATAGCGAACAGCGCAGGCTGGTCTGGATCCATGCTGGTCGCAAACCCATTATGTTGGTTTTGTCATGACGCGGCTCATTTTTATACATAGAATTAAGAAGGCGCGAAACGTAAGACACGAATACGGACTAAGAAAAATCGTCAGAAGAGGAATCCGGATAAGGGTGGTTTTACTCACATGGACATGTTACTAATTCATGGCTTATTTTTTTATAAAATACTTTAAAGAAAATATATATGTCATTCATTTAAAAAAAAATCATATAAAAAGCTATGATAATGTAGCAATTATATTATGTAAATAATTTAAGGAATATATTTTTTCAATTCAAATTAAATGACCAAAACTAATAGTTCATCAACTTAGCTACATGTACAAGTGCATGTATGAAATGTTTAATAAAAAATGCAATACTAAGGCACTATAATTGCTTAAAAGCTGTAGAAATGCTGTTACCACATTACCACATTTTTTAATTCCACATGTGTCCCTATCGCCACTGTCTGATGTCCAGCACCACAGATAATCCCGTTCCACAGCTCGACAAAAATTGGCTGCATCTGATACTGTAGCGTCACGGAATTGTTCATTTTTGTAGACCTTTTTATCGTAAGAATCCCATCTTATGCACGGTGTCCCGTTCTTTGTCGTCTGCTGGTGGCCGATGTAGTCATCTACCGTTGTAGTATAGCAGTCTATCACCACGCCTGAAAGATAGTGCCTTTTATATGTAGCTATCAATTAATAACAACAATGAGTTCGCTTTTACTTCCTCTAGTTTTTTAACTTCAAACGGAAATTGACAAATTAAAAATTATAAAATAATCATGATTATTATTACCAGTACTGTAGTCTGAACATCTAAAATCATCACTATCGTCATCGTCGTCGTAATCATTGTCTAATAACAACAACCAACACAATCACCATCGTTAAAATCGCCAACGTCAACATGTAAATCATCATAAATGTTGTCACTGCCAAAATCTCCCCAATCACAATGGCAATGTCAGAATCATTCATTATTTAAGAAATAATATATCTCAAACTGTGATTTTATTGCTCAGTAACATCACTGTTTGTCCCAGAGTTCGGATGCGGGGAATTATATCACGAGGGCGTAGCCCGAGTGATATAATGATGCGCATCCGAACGACAAACAGTGATGTTATCAATCAATAAAATGACCGATTTGGATATATTATTTCGATTCTAACACGACATCAACAAATAACTGCTGCCCATACATGATAATTAGCTAAATTGTGCGTACTTATTGTCAGCGCGTCACATTTTTAGTGGTTACGTCATGTGTATAATGATTACGTCACATGTCTAAATATAGAACGTCAAACAGTGATTGTATAGCATATTATAGCATAAAATCGGCTTTCCCCTCTTTTGCCCATGTTATAACGGGACCAAAACCATGTGTTAACATAGTCACGCGCTCTTGTTATAGCCCGGTTTCACCTATGCGCAATACATACAGGGCCCAGTAAACAAACAAACAAAAAATGACGATTTGGCCTGTTTGCCAAAGAGTCATGCGCTCTTGTTATATTGAAATTTATTGATTCGAGGCCTGCCTCAGTCGCATATTCAAGTAACTATGCCGGAAAAACGGCGTATAGACATCGGTGCTAATCTTGGTTGTCGCCCTTTCTAAGAAACGGACAGTTGTCAATGTAAACAAATACAGTAGAATCTAGTCTACCTGTCATTCAGTTTAACACTCCGATTAACTTACAAAACTAGATAACACAAAATTAATATGAGAAAATGTTTTTTTATTTATGTTAATGTTGATAAATGATCTTTATATTTCTTTGAGAGAATAATGCTTAGTGCCTGATTTTTTTATAAACTTGATTGCTTGAAAAAAAAAACCGATTCTGATGTCACTGATCTTTTTTCTACCGTCAATCTGAAATCATTCTAAGAATTTCTGAGGGTCATGTTTTGTCTTGGGTAGAGGGTAGAGTAATGTAAAGTTTTTTTTCTTGAGATAATAAATCTCCAAAGGCCAAGCTTTGTTAAATCAATTAAAATTCAAAATTTCGTTCGGTTCCGAGAATTTTCCAAGTTGTTGGCCCCGGAAAAATGAAACGCATACGTAAAACATAGAATTGGATAAATACCGTCCAAGCACAAGAATTTAATGTAATTGTGTTTTGTATAAACTATACATCACGAATCTGTTTGAAAATTTTATGCTATAATAGCGTCAACGCATGTTTATTTCGTGTTATAAAGTCTGCAGAGTCCCTCGGAACTGTTGGAGCCCTCGCCCTACCGGGCTCGGGCACCAACCGTTCCCCGGGACTCTGCAGACGTTATAACACGGAAAAACGTGCGTTAACCCTATAATAACACACTTTCGGTTCTTCTATGTTCAATAGGGAAAAATGCGGGTCGTGTTAGAATAAATATTACCACCATCACCTTATTCAACATCATTATCCTCATTGTCAACATAATCGCCACATAGCAATAAACGTCGTTAAAATCGTCATCATCATTTCATTTCATTGTAAGGTTATTATTTCTATCAGCATCAACAAGACCGTCATATAATTAGCAAAATTTGATAACAATAAAAAAATAATACAATATACCTACCAGTTCCTGTGACAACACATGTTACTAAAATGACCGAAAAAAATCCAAAAAGGAAACAAGTATTACTATTCATTGTAAGCAAAGAGTATAACTAAATACAGATTCTAAAGATACGTGCATTTAACAGTGTATGTGAAATATTGATTTAAAGGGGAAGTGAGAACTTATATATAATATCCGTTTTACATATATCTTTATTTATTATGATAAAACTAAATGATCAATCAGGGAGGATGGTCATAAGATTTCCGGGGTACATAAAGTTTCCTTAATGTTATTTAATTGTTAAATCGTGCATATGTCCATTAAAAACATTGTCATAAACGGAAAACGTCCCGCTATCGCTATATTTCAACAAGACTGTCATCGCTGATAATGTCGTGACAATTAAAATAAACACTTATAATAACAAGAAGTATCTTTTAAAAGGCGAAGTAAAACTGGTGAACTTGCATGTAGTAGTTCTTAGTTTCCCATGCAAAATCATATAGAAATGGTAGCATAGCTTGTACAAAAAAGACATAATAATTCCTTGTAGGTAAATTAAACTAAAAAAAAGGAACACTTTAAGATGTATGTGTTTCTTGTTTCGGCGAATGATATGAATTTCTAACACCAACATCTACGCAGTTGGAAGGCAATTATTTTCAATAAATACTTTATCAATAGGTAAAAAATATATGAAAATTATAATCATTATATAAATTCAACACATCAATTATCATATCATATAATATATAGACACTTATTGAACATCATAAACTGAGGATGCCTGATAAGTTCTGATATTTTCCTCGTTATTTTGGACAAACTTTAAAGTCAGATCTTGTGTAAGATAAACTCAGTAAGCTCAGAAAAAATAAACTGTTCATGCATCGTAAAATATTTCGTGGGAGGGAGTATTGTTAAACAGAACTGAGCAATTTAACTAGAAAGTTAAAGTACTACCCTATAGATTTTATTTTAGAACTTTCCTTTACATTTTTTAAATGGCAAGGACTATTTTGTAATTTCAAAATGACCGATCGAATATATTATATATTCGATTATATATATCGAATATATATATATATATATGATGCGCACGGTTTATAACAATATCATTGTGACTATTGGTCTACAAAAGCTCTTTTGTATCATAGGCAAAAGTAAAAACACGCTCCCTGTTGTCGCACTATGACTGTATAATATGTATACGATTGAACTCTGACACATTTTCAACAGAAAGGCCCCCAAATTTTCAACAGAAAGGTCCCCAAACTATGATACAAGTATGAATTGGTGTTCTCAGTATGGTAATATAACACCAGTGACATTCAAAACTGAGATTGTTTTTCATATTTTAGAAGCAGGTTCTGTTAATCTTTACGAGAATTTCTTTTATATGTTTGTTGTTAAACCTCGGACCCAAGGTCTTTTTAAGTCCCAGGTTGAACGTAAACTATTCAACTATTCTAACAAAGGAATTACAATGGAAGGAAAATGGAAGCTCAACTCAAACCATATAAAGGGGTCGTTTTGCACACATGTGTACGTTAACCAAAATTAGGCAAAAGTGGCGCCCCTTAACGTCAAACTGTACATATTGCAGTAATAGCAATGAATTGCAGCGTGTGTGTGTAATCAGTTTGAAAAGTACATGTGTGGGCTCCAGTCTCACTAAGTGTTTCAAATAAAACATTAAAGCATAAAGCAAAATTCAGTCATAAACTTACCAACAAAAGCAAACGGCCAGTGTGATTATTATGTTCTTGGTTTTCAATTGTATAAATCATTTTACTATTCTTCGTAATAGTCTTATCGTGATTTTTTTAACTGTCCCGTTAAAAATTGGTTATGCGTTATATTTTTTTTAAATAATCACAATTTTGTTCTTAGTTGAATTATTCCTTTATTTTCTCGTATGTATGATACATTATCATGCAGCAAAATTATATTAATATAAGACATATAATAGTTTATTACATGTGCGATTTTCCAGCAATCAGGTTATAGAAGGAAAGAACGGAAGTTCGCGTCATTACAAGAGCTCATTTATAATCATACAGTCTATTACAATACATAGAGGATATTCAAGTTTTTTCTATAAATACACGATTTATTTTCATCGAGTGGTATGAAAATAAATATTTCATGAGTGGCGTAGCCACGAGTGAAATATGGTAATTTTCATGCCACAAGATGAAAATAAATCATGTATTTATAGAAAAAATTTGAATTTTCTGTTTATTATATACATTTTTCTCTTTTTTTGTGATACAATTTTAAAGACTTTCCCTTAAATTTTGTGTACTGGCAGAATTTAAAAGAAAGTAGTCCGGTAAGACACCAGTGAAAATACGGAAAATATGTTTCACTGCAGTGAAAAATAAATTTTTACAGTGAAAATACGGAAAATTTTATTTCATCAATATTTCTCAATATTTCATTTATAAGTATATAATAAAGTATGATACCGACTTGTATATACGAGTATAATACGCTTGCGACGTCGTTAACGTCAAATTTTAAAGTTATAGCGTGCGCCGAGTCGCTTTACTAACGACTTAACATTTTCAGTTGTTAATGTTTCTTGTTGGTATTTTTCGTTTCATATAGAGGATATATTCCGATTTATGTTCCGTGTGTTTTTATATAAATGCATCTTACATGATATCCTCACATAGATTCATATCGTGGTTAAATTATTAGGCATAATATGAAAAACTATTATTATACGAAGACTTTAAAATCTATTTCCATTTTAACATATACATTTATAGGTGGGATTAAGCATATGCACTATTTACAAGGGACGCTGATCATTACCACTACACTTAAGTCTAGTTTAATCAGGATAGCTTACTTTATAGGCGGGGCTTAGTATGCTAAGTGTTCTCTCCCATGATTCAAATTATCGAATAAATATTTTTCAGTAGATCTATACAATAAATATTTTAATTATACAATAAATATTTTCAAATATAGAATATACATATAGAAAATTATCGCACACAAATATCTTTATGATGAACAAGTATTCAGCAGGATTGAATAAATATTATGGTATAGAATATAAAATAAGAGTTATACAATATAAATATTGGATATAGAACAAAAATTTAAAAACTGCTTTGAATGAGAGAATTTTTAATTTGAAAAATTCTACAGTATTGATAAATGTTTTGTTTTGAATAGTTATAGTGTTTTTTTACATGTTTTTCGGTGGTTTATAGAAATATATCAGTGAAATATAAAACTAATACAAATGTATTTCACTGTTTGAAAGAGTAGAAATATCAATTTGAATTTTTCACTGCTTTGAATTTAAGCACGTTTCGTTATTTCAGTGAAATACCAGCGTGCACAGTACTTGGTGTCGTAAATGACGTCACGTTGTCGCTTTTCATTTAATATTAGGTTAAAATGTCTTTTTTTAACGTTTCTTTGCATATAATAAAAAGAAAACTTGTTTAATTTAGTGATAATATATGGCGTGACACAGGAAGATATTGATTATCACAAATTTAAGTTTATCACTGAAATAGAAATTAAATGTGGAAGACATTTCAAACTGAGCATACGACAATCCAAATAGTGAATTTCATTTTGCGCCACTCAGAATTCTACTTTTGTTGTAGAATTGAAAGAAGATTTAACAAAACAAAAAAATCGTATATTCTTTGTCTTCTTTGAATAATTTATATAATTATTATTATTTGTTGGGGCTGTTATTATTTTATTTTATTATTTTATTGAAATGCAAAATATAATATCAGTCGGAAAATCTGATCCAAACTTTTTCTATGACATTTCAGAAAAAGAACATTCTTTTTTCCATTTAAATTACCCGCAATATTATATCATAATTAGTCATCATTTGTTGTTCTATATCATTCGGGATTTTCACACGCCATATTTAAAGTTGTCAATTTCTTTAGTTTTGTCACTTGAAAACATCCCTCCTTTATTTGTGCCACTTGGTATCTGTCCTTTAATTTTAAAATTCATGTTTTTCCTGATTGACATTGATTATTGAAAAGAGTTCGACAGACAAATACGCAAAACTGTGCAAGATTTAAGTATTAGTTGACGAAAAGTTTGATTATATTATCAGAAATGTATGGTGGCTGATTTGTGCCATTTGTGTTTTCGTCCGGCCACCCTGCCAAGCGAAAAGTCGAGAATTTACAATTAAAATGGCGGGGTCGCGGAACGAAAACACGCTAACTAGCGGGGGCGCGCGGCGAAGTTTAACAAATAAAACTTCGCCCCATGAGGGCGCGGAGCGAGAATTAAGAAATAAAACGGCGGGGGCGCGGGGCGAAAATTTTAATAAATAAAAAATTCTCCCGGCCCCCCCTAATTAGCGTGTTTTTCGTCCCGCGACCCCGCCAAGCGAAAGTCGAGAATTTACAAATTTAAATGGCGGGGTCGCGGAACGAAAACCGCTAATTAGCGAGGGGGCGCGGGGAAGTTTAACAAATAAAACTTCCCCCGCGAGGGCGCGGAGCGAGAATTAAGAAATAAAACGGCGGGGGCGCGGGGCGAAGTTTAATGAAAAAAATCTTCGCCCCGCGCCCCTGCTAATTAGCGTGTTTTCGTCCCGCGACCCCGCCAAGCGAAAAGTCGAGAATTAACAAAATAAAATGGCGGGGGCGCGGGGCGAAAACACGAATGGCACAAATCAGCCACCATAGAAATGGGATTATGTAAACGGAAAGGTACTAGACGTGTTGGGTGTGCAAAAATGGCTTACATCTCTGCATGTAATTGAATTTTTAGAATTAGCTATTAAAGCCGCGTCCATGTAAGGTTAGAAACGATTTCAAGACAATGTGATTTGAAAATCACAATTTTCTTATTTTAGGAATTATCATTAAATTTGCGTTGTGCCCTTACTCAACACCAGTTAACATCTACATTTGAGCCGCGTCATGACAAAACCAACGTAACGCGTTTGCGACCAGCATGGATGTAGACCTGCCTGCGCATCCGCGCAGTCTGATCAGGATCCACGCTGTTCGCTACCAGTTTCTCTACTTGTAATAGGGTTTGTAAGCAAACAGCATGGATCCTGATCAGACTGCGCGAATGCGCAGGCTGGTCTGGATCCATGCTGGTCGCAAACACATTACATTGGTTTTGTCGTGACGCG